ACACACACACACACACACACACACAAACACAAACACACACACAAACACACACACATACACACACACATACAGGTCCAGAACTTCCCCCAAGGTGTCCTTTGTGTGACTATGTATATTATGAGACTGTGGATTATCCCCTGTCCCACTTAACAGCCCTAAATGACATCTGAGCTACACTTCTTTCTCCCAAACCTAACATTGACAACACACTCCATGAAACATTTGAGCAACTGCAGCTAACTTGCACTTATCACTACATGACGAGGGCCCAGATGTTGCTGGGTCGTTAACAATAAAACACAACAACAACAACAACAACAACAACAACAACAACAACAACAACAACAACAACAACAACACATACGTGTATTCTACCCAAACAACTCACAGTCTGAGACAGAGTCATTGATCGTAACCATCGCCCTTCGAGGCTCCCCCAACATGGCGTCTGAAGGCATCTTCAGCACCACCGAGAAGGTCTCCTCTCCTTCCAGCCGCGGCCTCCCCAGGTCGTCCAAGATGACCAGTCGGACAGTCTGCATGGTCACCCCGGGAGCGAAATCCAAGATCCTGTTGACGGCAACGTAGTCCAGTCCCGCTGAGAAGAGAGAGGAGGTGTTGCTGATATTGTTGTTGTTGGTGTTGTTGTTGTTGTTGTTGTTGTTGTTATTGTTGGTGGTGGTGGTGGTGGTGGTGGTGGTGGTTTTGGTTTATTAGGTGACAGCAAATGAACGGTAACATTTTCAGTATCCTTGAACACTCCAAATTTACCATTACTGAGCAACGATTTTTAGTAAAAATTCACCCAGAAAAATGTTTGCAAATAGCAACAACAACAACAACAACAACAACAAAAAAGCCATGTCCTTTTCAACCGTACACTTTACATACATTTATGACAACATTTAAATTTCACCCCACTTTACCATGGTCATATTCTTTTCAACCATATAATTTACATACTTTTAAATTTTACCTCACTTAAACATAATGATATAATTATCATCAACCATACAATTTGCATACTTTTATGACAGCATTCCAACTTTCACTCATCCCACCATATTCACATCCTTTTCAATCGTACTTTAACCTACCCCTAGCGAAATCTGCACACAATCATGACAACTTACCTTCAGCAGACTTAGGGTCACTCTTTCTGGACCTGACCATGACACTAGAGGGCCTGCTGAGGTCAGTTCCGGTGCGCCAGACCTTGACCTCCAGGAAACCATCGCTCTCGTCCACCACGTACTCGGAGTTACCAAGGTAGAAGGCCGGTTCTGGGGACATGATGAAGTAGTCATTGTGAGGTTTGTGTTTAGTAAAAAACAGCAACATTTTTAGTCTTTAAAAATTATACATGACGTTTTGTTAACTCTTTCACTACAGGGGCTTTTTTTCTCATCTGGATCGGGATCTATCTGTGACCATCTTTCTGATTCTGCCTTCCATCGAACATAATTAAAGACTTTGAGTACCATTTTCATTATTATTAGCCACATGTATTATAGGTCTATACGAAAATAAAGGGGAAATTATGACCTATCTCAACATGTTGCTAAAAACGATCGTTCTTCAGCCTGAGGTTTCAGATGACAAAAAATAGGTGTATGGTTTGGAAGCAGACGAGACGGTTCGGGGTCCGGCACTGGGAGTAACACGAGCAGTTAAACACGGCTCGCGGTAGTGAAAGAGTTAATCCTTTTTCTTTATAATATTGTAAACTACTATGAAGCGCCTTGAGCTTGAGGTTTTAAAGGGAAGGCAAAAATGTTATGATTGTTTTAATCGGCGATTGTCTTCGGTAGGTGGTCGGTGGAACAGGTCCGGGTGTATTTTCACTTGAAGGACAACAATTTCTTCATTGTGTTTGATACACTTAATTAAGGTGCAACATTGCGTGAGTCGAAGGAAAAGTGTTGATAAACGCGAGCAGGTGGTGCACAGCCATCCATTTGTATATATATATACACACACACACAAGTAGAAAGAGAGAGAAAGAAAGAGAGAGAGAGAGAGAGAGAAAGAAAGAGAGAGAGAG